GAACATCTCCCACATCTCCAGGTGTGGATTCAGTCCAAGGAACATCTCCCACATCTCCAGGTGTGGATTCAGTCTGAGGAACATCTCCCACACCTGCAGGTGTTGTAGGAAGCCTGAAATGCTTCCTCAGGATGAGATGGGCTAAAAACACACAGGTATGGCCCACTTTGGATGTCACCACGAGGGGCATCCAAATAAAATCACACACAGGATTCGGATTTGCCAGATAATCTGACCTTTATGCATATCCACAGCTTCTCAGCCAACTGAGGTGGCTCTGGACAGCCCAAATTCCATGGAACTCCTAAATCTGGCTCATTTGACCCATTTTTTACCCAAATTTTCCAACGAGCCCGGGAGGCTGCACTGGCATTAAATGGCTGGGGATGAAAAATCAATTCCCAAAGGATCCAGGACTGCAGAGGAGGAAGGCACAGCCACGAGCCTTCCCAAAGAACTGTCAAACTATTTTCAAAAGACTGGAGACAAGAAATCTCTTGACTAGACAGGAAGGAGAAAATGAAGACATCAAAATATATAAATATATTTATAAAAAAAACCCAACTCCAGCTCTTTGGTGGCAGAGTGTTCTCTGCATTTACATTTCCATGGCAAGGCAAAACAGCAACTGGCAAAGGAAATAACAGAGAAGAGGAAAAAGGGGAAAAGCTCAGGGAAAAGAGGGAAAAAGCAGCAAGAGTTGAAAATAATAAGGAAACATTAAAAAAGTGTATTACCTGTTTGATTTTTTGAGCTCCCCACAGCTAGAAAAATAAAAGAGAATATTAAATTAAAAAAAAATAAATAAAATGTAGTTTTATCCCAAACCCCAAAGATTCATCTTTTAGCTGCTGGAGCAAATGAATGTGAGGGATTGGTACGAAACACTCATTTTCTGCATCCTTGCAGGATGTATTTAAAGATCCTTTACACACCCTGAGCTCCTTGAATCTGCTTGGACAGTGAGACCAGCAAGGCAGAGACAACGTTTTATTTGTATTGAATTATGTTGGTAAGAAAGAACAACAACAGCCAGACTTCACACTCTTGAGCTGAGCTTTACAAATCGAAAATTCTCTGCCACACGTAGATCTCAAGGTAAATTTAGCACAGCCCCTCCTCGGATGAGCTTCCTGCGGAAATCGAGGCTTCCAGGGAACAAAGGTGGAGCAATCCCTGCAGGGATGTCTTCAGATAAAAGCTGGGTTTAGATTAAACAGAATAAGCAGCACTAGTTTTCATTTTTTTGCAGGGAAAACACACCGAAAAATGCTCGTGGAGAGGAAAAAAAAAATCTCATTTTAACTCTGCCTGTTGCTTCCCGACAGCGTCAAAATACTCAGATCCGGCTCAGATCACAGAGATCGATGAGCACCGAGGAAGAAACATCCTACAAGAGGTGCAGGTAGGGCTAATGAGGAGATCCACAACACCAAGAGATGCTCTGGAATACACATAAACCCACAGTTAATAAAGGCAGAGGGTTTTCCCTCCAAGAATTGCACCGAAATGCAAATTAGAACCTCCAAAATCAAATAAATGTTGATGTGTACGATTCTAGACACGGATGAAAAGCCAGGGCTCTCAAACATCACAACAGATAATTCTAGAGATGGATGAAAAAAACAGAACTCCCATAAAATATCACACCAGATCATCAGTTTTGCTCTCAAAAACTATTCTGTTCAGCTCAAGTCTGGCTTCATCTCCCCGGCACCGGCGGGTGTTCCACCTCTGTCTGACAACCACCGTCTATTTTTGCTCTTCCCACAGGTACTTGGAGCTGCTAAAACCACCCTTTAACCTTCATTTATAGGAAAAAAATACAAAATCGCTGCGAGCCAGGAGCTGTTCCCTTGGCAAGGCACGTTTGCCAATCTTTTAACCACCCTCGTGGCTCTTTTACATCTTTCCAATTTGTCAACATCCTCTTGAGTCGAGGACGCCAGAAACCAGACAAATTATTCCAACAACAATTGTCCCAGAGCCAATCCAAGGGTAGGATAACCTGATGGGTTCTGCTCTTGCTGCTGATAAAAAAGCTGAAGATGGTGATGGCTCTTTTTGGCTCCAGGAGCTCAGGATTACCCACCAAAATCCCGACCCAAGCGCCCGGGTTTATATTCCGCAATAGACACCCACGCTCCAGATCTCATCATTTTTAGGGGATTAATTAAGCCCCATTCTTCACCTGGGGTTTAGTGCCTTCCCCAAATATAAACCCATGGAAATACTGTTGGAATAAAGCAATTAATGTATTACAAACAGCATAATTGCTCTATTATAAATAGCATAATTTGACCCATTGATAGCAGCGACCCCAATGTTTCACTCCAAATTCATCTCACACCCCAGAACTGAAGCTCTGTGATGAACTACACCATGAGCAACGAGTTACTGGAATATCTAAAGGTCACATATCCACAGGCTTTTTCCTGAGGAAAAAATTCCCTTTTTAAAGAAAACCATTATTCCCCATTTTTCAGTTGGAAAGCAGAGGTTGGAAGGACATGAAGAGACACAGAGACAAGATGGATCCACCCTCACCAATCTGAGAATCCCAGGGGTGGGGGGCTGCACACCCAGACAGCTACCAGGGCATTTCTGCACCTGCCTGAGAACTTCCATGGGGTGAAGGTGGAACTCCTCGAGGTGCAGGTGAATTCCCAATGTATCCCAGTGGCTTCCCAGAACTCGCTTCTCCTCAATGTGAAACGAAACCATGGGATTTTCCTCTCCAACAGCAAGCACTGACACAAGCAAAAAGGAAGAGGGATGGTTTCCCAGCCAGCTCCAGGGCTTTTTCGGTCAAATTATCTAATTTCATTAATTGATCCCAATATTTATGCCTTTTCCCGCTGCAGTGCAAATATTGTTAGAACACGCGATTTCATTACTTCTCAGAAAGAGACTTTACAAGATGCACCTGATGAGTCACCTAAAGATTCTGCCAGCTCATTTTCACTTTTTTTTCTCCTCTAATTCATTTTCTGTCTGCAGCATTTTTCAGTAGCTCCAGTTCCCTGACGAGTCTTGCCAGCCAGGGGGGCTCGTTGCTGAAGCGAGTCTCTATTTTTGCTCAGGGATTTCATTCACGCTCTCTCCGGCCATCTTGGAGAGGCAGCCAGATTTTGATCTCATTTACACCAGTGTGAAAGCAGAGAATCCTCACTGGAGCACATGGAAAGGCTCCAGATTCGTGCTCAATTTGCCTCGGATTAAGTCTGTGATTGCTAAATATAATCAGGCTGGACTGGGAGGGTCTCCTGCAATCATTGTTTTCCTTTGAGGGCTCAAAATGGTTGGTTTGAGCGTTTTACCATCAGTCATAGATGGAACTAAACCAAAGAAGTCCAGAGGACAAGGAGTAGAAAAGCTGGAGGACCATTAACATATTCCATTATCCATCCCACCATCCCAAGCAGACAGCAATGGACAAGCACCTCTAACCTGTGGATTTGGAATCTTCCACCAGGACAGATCAAGCTCTGATTTTGATCTGATTTACACCAGTGTGAAAGCAGAGAATCCTCACTGGAGCACATGGAAAGGCTCCAGATTCGTGCTCAGTTTGCCTTAGATTAAGTCTGTGATTGCTAAATATAATCAGGCTGGACTGGGAGGGTCTCCTGCAATCATTATTTTCCTCTGATGGCTCAAAATGGTTGATTTGAGGGTTTTACCATCAATCATAGATGGGATTACACCAAAAAAGTCCAGAGGACAAGGAGCAGGAGGGTTGGAGCACCATTAACATATTCCATTATCCATCCCACCATCCCAAGCAGACAGCAATGGACAAGCATTTCTAACCTGTGGATTTGGAATCTTCCACCAGGACAGATCAAGCTCTGATTTTGATCTCATTTATACCAATGTGAAAGCAGAGAATCCTCACTGGAGCACATGGAAAGCCTCCAGATTTGTGCTCAATTTGCCTTAGATTAAGTATTAGATTATATTGCTAAATATAATCAGGCTGGACTGGATTATCCACCCACCATCCCAAGCAGCCAGCAATGGACAAGTGTCTCCAGCCTGTGGCCATTGGAATCTTCCCCTAGGACAGACCAGGCTCTGCTTCACAGAGATGTCCTTCATGGACATGGAGGAATCAGCTCCAGGACCACTCACAAGTGGTCTCAGAACCAGCATTTCAGGACTCCTGGATGAGATTTCCATCCATCCTTCCCAGGATTCTGTCTCTGTTACAGTTTTTTCAGGAAGAGACACTCCCCACCTTGTCCACCACCTACAGCAGAGCGTTAAACCCCCTGAGCTCTGGGGTTCCCAGCACAGGGAGGACATGGAGCTGCTCAAGAGAGTCCAGAGGAGGCACCAAGATGATCAGAGGGATGGAGCACCTCTGCTGTGAGGAAAGGCTGGGAGAATTGAGATTGTTCAGCCTGGAGAAGGCTTTGAGGTGACCTAATTGTGACCTTCAGTGCCTGAAGGAGCCAATAAGAAAGATGGAGAAGGCCTTTTCCCAAGAGCAGTGACAGGACAAAGGAGAACAGATTCAAGCTGAAAGAGGGGAGGTTTTAGGTGGGATATGAAATTTTCCTGTATTTAATAGGAGGGAGATTCATCTCTCAAGGAGAACTGGTACCCTCTGTACTGCTTTTATAGTGACAGGTGTCAACTCATAGATTTGGGCTGGATGGATTCTTTAAATAACACTTCTTTTTTTTTTTTTTTTGGAAAATTATCTCTAAGCTACGATTCTGCTGCTAAATAAGGAACGCTAATGAATGTCCTGACAACCAAAGATCATTTCTATTCCCCAGGATTTATTGCAGTCTCCATCTCCTCATCGCAGCTTTGGTTCTCTTCAGACTGTGGTGGTCTCTGATACCCTTCCTTAAACATTATAAGCACCTGATGTTTCTGTATAACTGAGTTCATAGAATCATGGAATGGCCTGGATTGGACCTTCAAAATCACCTCAGTCCAACCCCCTGCCATGGGCAGGGACACCTTCCACTAAACCAGGTTGTTCAAAGCCCAGTTACTCAAAGGCTGGTGGGTGTTTCACCACCCTCATTGTAAAACTTATTCCTTAATTCTAACCTAAATCAACCTTCCTTCAGTTCAAAACCATCAGCCCTTGTCCTGTAATTTAAGAAATGATCTTAAACCCGTGGATCTGTGCTCTGGACATGCCACACCAGGAATAATTCTATGGAGAAAAGCCCTTATTGACTAAACACACATAAGGGCAAGGCACAATTACAGTCAAAGAACTAATTAGGTAGATGAGCTCAATGTGTAAGAGGAAACACAGTGGTTTAAGTCCTGCAAAGTTAGTCCTGCTTGGTCAGGTCTATCTGTGTTAGACTCTGCACCATCACACTCAAACCAATTTATAAAATTCCCTCAGCAAGGATGAGACCAAAGAGGAAATAATTGGAAGAATGAGCATTTTTAGTTAATTTATCTCAACTGTCCAGCCCAGTGGACACATGGTTCCATCTCAAAATCTGCTGATCCCCTTCCTGCCCCATCAGGGATGTTCTTCCATGAGACCCCTCCTGCACCTGTCAAATCTTGATTTTAATAAGGTAACAGCCCGGAGTTTGCACCCCTGTCAGAAACTGCCAGGAGTTTCACACTCTGGGAGCTGTGAGGTTTTATTAAAGCAAAGCTCAGCTTATCTATCCCACACTGAATTCCAAATATTGGGTGTTGGGAGCGGAACGCGTGATGCAGCAAAGAGCAAACTGCTGTCACGTGTGTGGCCCTTGGGAGGGACAGCCTCCAAATC